GGCATTTTCACGTCGTAGTCGTGTGGTGGCGGCAAAGAAATATACAAAAAAGTGTGAAGGACGTGCAGAGGGTGTTGTTTTACTTTTTTGCCGTTCTTGCTGATGTGGCTGTCGTCGTTGCTTAAGCTCCCATTATCACTTTCGGGACAGAGAAGCTGTGTCTTCAGCGACCGATAGTGAGGCGGAATTTAGTGGGGTAGCTAGGAGCCCCCATCACTTTGTCAGACGCGAAGATTTTTACAGTGCTTAGCCAACTGCCTTATAGTCTTCTACACAGCCGTTTTTAGAGCGCGTTGCGTGACGCCACTGAAAAAGGGCTGTGTAGCAGACTAACTGCCATAAAATTGAAATAATATAACCCCTGGAGGGTCGCCTCCATTTTTCTTATCGTATCAGTCAGTTGGATTGTAGATTCCACGTTGTGGATTCCGGATTGTTATCCTTTGCTAGATTCCGGATTCCTCGAGCCGACCTTCCGAATTCTAAATAACAGCCTGTATAAGAGGCTCTTAAGGAGCCAAGCAAGGCGAACGCGGCATTTTGCGCGAAGCGCGAGACGAGGGGAGTAGAAAAACAGTAATACCCAAGATTGCACATTTCACAAGCAAGAATTTTCCGGATTCCGGAATCGACTACTTTACATGTAGTCGATTACACAGCCGTTTTTAGTGTCGTAACTCAATGGTCCTCCCCAAGCGTACGTTTCTCGTTGCCTTTTAACTATGGGATTTGATCTGAATTTGAATAAATCTGGACAAAGCTATTTTGTCGCTTAACACTAGGCACGATTGTTTCAAAGCTCGGTCCTTTACGAGTAAAACCTCGTCCCCAGGGCGCTTTTCCCTGGCTTTGGAGGTGCCACAGTGATATGGGCATCCCCATTCCCATATCCCTAGCGTTTTGGGCATCCCTGGTGGGGGATGCCCAAAACGCTAATCGCTTCGACTTTGCCTAAATTATTTCAGACTGGGGAAAAGTAGGGATTGTCTATCACAAATTTACGGCTGAATAGTGTAGATGCATGTTAGAATTATATCGTCTGACGCTTTTCGCCGGGTTTACTGCGCAGAAAAAAAAACCATAGGCAGTAAAAGTTGACTCAAAACATGACGAAACTGAAATTTACAACCGAATAACATCGCTTCGCTGTACAACACTTCATTGTTTGCAAAGCTTCAATTTTATTTAATAGAACTGTTTACAAGCGAGCAATGCCGCAATCACAGGGAGCTGCGATCGTCTGATTCCAAACAGCCAAACACAAGAATACTAAACAAAGCAATCAAAAGACAAATACAAGAATAAAACTGCGTTTTGTGCATAGTATGCATGACTTTTGAGGCCTGTACAACTTAACCCCGCAGCGCTAGCCTGCGTAGCAAGCGTTTCCAATCAAGTTATTGCGCGAAAGTTAGAGCGGAAGCATAATCAAAGGAAGACTATCGTCAACTCGTGGGTACGTTGTTTAGAAAATAATCAATTAGTTATCACCTCTGGTTTTCCCACAGTGAATTTTAGGAAATGACAGAATTTCAGATTATAAATATACTATCCTTGTTCTGGAAACACAATACTTTTCTTGCTGTTTATTGCACTTTAGTAACAGTTATTTAAGTATATATTTAAAAACAAAAACAAAAAAACAGCAAAACAAATAAGAAAACAAGACAAAACAAAAAAGAAAGAAAAAAAGGAAGAAGGGAAAAAGAAAGTCTTTAGCAGAATTTGAACCCAGTACCTTCGGGTTGACCCGACCTCACATAGCCACTACGCCATTGAGGAAGGTCACGTGACTTGGCGAAAAGTTTCAAGTTTTAATAACTCCTTTTCCATGGAACTTCCGCCGGCAAACGACCGGGGCAAACGATCGAACCATACTTAACCGATTGAAAAAACGACTCGAAGCAATCGGATGAAATTAAGGCTAATTGAGACCAGGCTACTGACAGTAAAAAACAATGTAAACGCATTTCATGGCAATGAAGGAACATATGCGATACAAAGCCGACACAACTCCCCTGCGAATTATGTTTTCTTATCTCGATTTCCGCTGTTATTTTAAAGGTAATGCTCAAACTCACATCCATTTCCCCCCGTGATCTTGGGGACTCCTTAAGAAGAAGAAGAACTGCCTTTATTTACCATACATTTCACCAGTCCGTATTTTATAGTCCGTATTTTATACCCGGTCCGCAGTCTGTAGTCCGCAGTCCGTGTTTTATACTGACCGCCATAAATTCATTCATACACATAACCTACTACACTACTACAAGGTAGGAGATCAAGCCAGCGTCGAAGTTGAAGGAGTCGAAGAGCAAATGCTCATCTTCTCGTCAAGTTTAACGCCTGGACGGGTCAAAGGCTTTTGAATCGTACTAATTTGAAAGATTTCTGCGTGTCTTAAATTTGGTAAGACCTCTATCCTAACCGTGCTGTAGCGCACGATGCACGATGCACGCTCTCAGCGAGGAATTTGATGCTACCGAACTTCGGCGAGCGTGTGCTTCTTTGGAAACGATAGATCTTCGCGCTCTCGAGTTCGGACCCGATTAATTACGAAGTGCGTCTACTACGAGTGAGCGAGTGACTCATTTGCGTATCTCTGTCCCTGCAATAACTCGTGGTACGCTCGCGCGTACCCACGAGTTAAAAAAGAAGCTTGCTACGCAGGCTACCGCAGCGCTACTTGACACACGAAAGGCTGTCGAGAGGCCTCTTGCACCTACGGGACAGAAGAAATCTGTTGCCGTTTTGAGATGTTTTAGCGGCTTCTATTAAATCAATTCCGACCAAGTAACACACCTTGGGAACAACCTTCACAGGGTGCAAAACGTCGCAGGCCTTCACTTCCGGTACATTTCTCTGGCACTTGCCTGCGTGCAGACGTCTCCTATTTCCTTTTGTTGTCCCTTTTCCGCGTGCAACAAAAGGAAATAGGAGACGTCTGCACGCAGACAACTCTGGCACCGGTCACAACGCTTTATCTAAGGAGAAGAAAACAACTACTAGTGAAAACAAAACAAACAAACAAAAAAAAAACAACTGAAAATGTAGTTGTGATAAATGGACGCTCCAATAATAGTCACTAGAAGAGATGTTGTGCTTGGCACACACAAAGAGTACTGTTTACCTGAGACGTGATGAGAAAAAGTATGTTTAAAAGGCTGGTTTACACGCCACCAGATTCGTGACCAAGATTTACTAGTAAACTGAACTTGTCGAACACAAAAAATCCGGCCTGATTTTTTATTTTGGTCTTTCTTTTAGACAGAGGAATGCAACGTGTAAATTGGCTGCCACAAAGGACTATCGTGGCGCGTGTGTTTCTTAAAATTATATTTCGGGGTTGTCCAATTATCCATAGTCTCTCTAACGGAGCAATGTTGGAGAGACTGGTGAATGCCACATTATGATGCAACAGCTAATGCAAATACAATACACGAATAGGTCTATTTGTTTTCCAGGCCTAATCTACTGTGATCGAACATGATTGCAATTTTTGGGTGTACAAATAAGACTATTTAATAACTCGATGTAAAATTTGTTTCACTCTTGCACTGTCAAATTATTTTTCTCTAAAATCACTTAGCCTTTGTCTCAAAAGTCAAATGAGTTTATTGTTTGATTTAAATTATGAATTTATTAACGGGAGCTTCGCTTTTAGCCCTGGCTAAATCTATTTATTATATAGACACGAGTGTTTTACTGGAAAATATACCACTCGTAAAATTCATAAAAACTACATCCGGGACCCGAGTGGTTTATTTTCCGTAATCTAGCCTGTGAACAGCCTCTCGGTTCTTCGCTCGACCAAAGGCCTGTTCACAGGCTACCGTAATCTCACACGTGAGTTTATCGATGACGTAACTTCGGTAATTTCCCTACAAAAATTGTAGGCGTCTTGCGTCCTTTGAATTTTAATTACACATTTTTCAAAGCTTTGCTTTTATTTTGTCATTGTAGAGCCCTATTCAGCTCAGTGTTATTCATCAAGATTATAGTAAGCAATGTCTTATATTGCTGTACTCTAAATTTGAGCCGTCACAATTACTTTTTGGCGAATAAAAATCTATTACTTTATCGATGTCTTTTTGTCTATATAATAAAAAGAACATTACATGGTGGCTTGAAGATAGGAATTTTATTTTCTCGTGGCAAGAACAATATTTTACTCACTCGCTGCGCTCGTTCGTAAAATATTGTTTTGCCACTCGAAAATAAAATTCATATCTTCGCGCCACCGTGTAATATCCTCTATATATTAGCGATTTTGATAACTCTTCCTGGCTAAAGGTGCTGAAACTCACCCCAGTCCCTTCGCGCAAAATAATCATTTGAAGCCAAAATTGTCCCTTTGTTGTCTTTTTGCGATGAAACGAGAACAGTGACCCCCCTTTTTCCCTTTTTATTGGTGTTTTATACTCGTTATGGGTACAACAAAAGTATTTCTTACGGAGAAAAAAATCTGGATAGTAGAAGTTGCATTACTTGGATATGAATGATGTGAAACTCAGCATTTGAAGCCACAGGGAACTATGAGGTAAAAACTGTCCATTTTTCTAACATTTTTCACTTGATCGGGTAATCGGAAGTCACTTTACTTAAACATCGAGCCGAGACAAACAAACGCGCTCTAGGTTTAAATAAGATTTATAGTTCTTGCTATATGATAAAAATTTTTGAGGGTTGTTCAAGATTCGAACATTTCGCGCTGAACTATAGGGAAAAAACATTACCCGCACGCAGGGCGAAAACAAGCTCGATTATCCCATCTCTTTATTGCAGTTTTTTAATGTCCTATATGTGTATCTCAATTGTGCTAAGCTTGAGAAAAATCTGGATAGTACATCCTTTTCAAGGGAATTACCTTAATTGTCTTATTGTGTTATTGGTTGATTAATCGATTGATTGATTTATAACACGCCATGATTTTACTTCTGTTTGCCCTGATTTCATTAAACCTGTCTTGCTTATGTGAATGGGCTTTAACGGAATTTTACTTAACGAGGAGCAACGACAATGACAAAGACACCCGAAAAGTCTTTCCAGAAATAGTTTTCTTTAGGAATAAAAGTTGCAGTACTGAGCGTTGTTTTATGGTGTTTCTTCTTAAGCCACCAGCCACTTTTCGATTTAATTTTTTTCACGACGTGTATTGAGGCGTAAGATAGGTGGCGTTTATCAAATTTACCCTTAATACTATTAAGAACATCTTTAGCGTTATCTCCATCTTCATTACCTACAACCTCTGATATTGACAATTTAGGTTTGCGAGCAGCATGTTTAGGATACCGTGTAACGACGTAGTTAACCCCTTCGTATCGAAACTTACGAACGATACGAACACCAGTAACATAATGTTTATCGTCACCACTGACATCGTCATATACTGTCACCAACCAGTATTGAGTGGGATAAGTACGTTTTAAGTAATCTCTTAAGATTTCCGCTAAGTCGTGGCGGCTTTTCTCTCTGTAAGTCTTTACAAGATCCGGGAGTTCTTCTTCCACCAGAGTGTCTGAAAGAGTGAGGAACACGTCTGGTCAATATTCACTATTCAGTGGGTCTAAATAGATATTCACTTAGGGAGAGACAACTTCCTGTATCAAATACTCTTAAGGTACCTCCCGCTTTACACTTTCAGTGAGATACCGTAAAATTCCGAAAATAAGCCCCGGGGCTTATATTTTTCAAAGACCCTTTTTGAGGGGCTTATTTTTGAAGGGTCTTATATTCGGAGGGGCTTATCTATGGAGGGAAATTTGCGTTTCATAATCGATTGGCCTAGCCTTATAGTTGGGAGTAAATTTGCCGTTTTTGCTTTGTTTTACTTTGTATTTGAGGGCAGTTTTCCAAGTACAAGCTCCCGGGGGGGCTTATATTTGGAGGGTTTTTTCCGTTACTGGTTTGAGGGGCTCATATTTTGAGGGGCTTATAAATGGAGGGGCTTATTTTCGGAATTTTACGGTAATCCTGTGTACTTCCCCGTATCCATTTCATTCCTTGCCACCGGGGAAATGACACTTAGCTGGGTTTTTCGCTACCACCCCTTCTTCCCCAATGAATTAAAGCCCGCCCTCTCGCTGTTTTCCTTGCACTATTGAGAGAAATTGCGACTATTTAATCGTTATACTGAGTGGCCCGACGCGTCAATGATAGGATGCATTATTCCGATATGTTCCACCACAGGTCTCGTGACCATCAACGAATATTTAAAAAAAAAACTAAACAAAATAAAAGAAATTCGGTAATACTTTGAGCTTCAGTTTGATTGTATTAGTCATGAAAGTTAAAATGTAAATTACTAGTAACTCTATTAATCTAACCATGAATCGGATTTTCTCAAGTTCTCATCTTAGCATGTTATTTTGATTCGCTGTGATCGTAGATAACTTTTTGACTGGATTTTAATTAGAGATATCAAGAAAAGGAGGTAGTAAAATTGTTACATCTCAGGTTATGAAAGGTAGGTACTAGGAATTCAATTCTTCACTCTTCTGTGGCAGAGGACAAGGGGGTGCTACCCGGGAGAGTACCGTGCGGGAAGGGGCACAGAAGGTGGGAGTTCTAAAAGGGTGCTGAGGAAAGCGGAATATTTCCTTTTCGATAGAGAGCTAAAGTGGGAAAGCCAAGAGAACAAGGGGCGAGAGCCGGGAATGCAAGGTACAGAAGACAGGAGGTTTGGACCCCCTACCTCCACTATGCTCGTGCATGGAAATGAACTGATACATACCTATATATTTACAGTAAGCTGAGGCGGGTTGCCCATTATCATATGTCCAGACTCCGCCTTTACAATAAACTTTAGAGTCTCCTTCGAGTTTGTAACCGTCGTCACAGTAAACCATACAGGTGTCGTCTTCATAATTTCCCGTACATTTGTCGACATGCCCATGAGGTACAGGAAAACTGTTACTACATTTCAGCCTGCATCGTACCATAGTACCACAATGCTGTCGGCGCATTAGCAATCTGCATCTGCCAGTTTTGCTACAACATGATAAAATAAACTGTTAACGTATCTGTGCTTCGCTTCGCTAATGCGAATTCGTTTTATCTTAAATTTTAATGCACTACCGATAAAATATTACTTGTTACCTGCTCTAGGAGTTTACTAATACAATAATGTCAAAAGAGATGTTCAGTTCGGTTAGATTGGAATCAAAACTGGGTCGCTTCGTATTATAGGGGTACACATCTTGAGAGTACATCTGTGCTTTAACACGTTTACTGGAGCATCGTCACATTTAGGTCGCCATTTCAATCAAAGGTGTTCTAAGTGCCCCGATGCTTCAAAACAAGTCCAACAAGTTCATAAAAAAGCTAGCGCGGCCATTAAATGCGAAAAAATCTACAAAGTCATCCAAATATTCTCCGCGTGAAAAAGAAAAAGTACGGTCGAGCCCCCAGCGTTAAAATGGTCCGCCTGGTTGTGGGTGGCCCAAAAGGGAGGCAAAATGTTCGACTAACACATGTCAATAATCAATCCGGTATCCGATTGATGTAGGTCTGTAACTAGCGTAGCGAGTAGTTGTTATGTGCCATACTATTGTGTTTTTGTTTGTTTGTTTGTTTGTTTAAGTTGAAGAAAATGTGAAATTCGACTACAACAATCCTCTCTTTTCTCAGAGACAGACATTTAACGGCCAATACGTCCCTCTGTGGGAACTCACAACCTGAATAATGCTTGGGAGGTTGGTGGGTTGGGGGTAGACAAGACAGGAATTGGCTGAGGTAGAATTGGCTTTTTGAAATAAAAGCCTCCTCACACTATTTCAAGTTTTACGCGCCTTACAATTCACTTTTTAAGCGACGTTTTCGCTGCCATCGCGTCCTTGGATCTTTAAGTCCTCGTTACCAGTCCAAGGAAGCAGATATCCGTCATTTTGCGGTAGTGATGGCGAAATCCAATTTGGTCAATACTTATTGCCAAAATGAACGCTATTACCCGGTATAAGTTTTCAATCCACCCGAAAATTGTTGTTTTAGTGAGACACGATGGTAACTTTCAGGAACAAGGTTGACAAAATCGAACAATTGGACGCAAGCGCTAATAGGCAAGTTCAAACACGTTGAATTAAGCAATTTTTCACATAAAATAGAACGGTTGTGAGAGGGAAAGGAGAGGGAAAATGACCCTGAAGAGGACGGTATTGGTCGGGTGTACATATAATATTCATCAGTCGGTTTGCGGATGCTTTCTTCTAAAAGAATCCAACTTGGCAACTGTTACAGGTTTGCCAGATATTTTTCTATATTCAAAAATAATTTTCCCTCGTACGTTTCTTTATAAAAAAAAAAAGGGAAAAAGGAGAGAGCCGAAATCCGTGATCTCTAGCTATTTCTAATGGCCATGCACAACATTTTCAGCAATCTGAACGCTATATCTATACCATTTATACTTACGATGAACAAAGGAGCCTACGGTCCGTCCAGCCAGTGCTGATGCGCACAACATCAGATCTGTAGTTAAAGCCAAGTGCTTCACAAATCTTCTTGCTTGCAAACTGGCTTGCCGCTGTTCCCGTTTCCTCGACACATATTCCCTCCCAGATACGATCTTCGGTAAATACTTCAACTCTTCCTTCATAAATAGTTGGCTTCGGCTGGACCAAACGTAGCTTACTACAAGTTACTCGTATTCGGGAGCTTATTGAGCTGTAAGCTACATGCTGGGGATCATTTATACCAACACTTTTGCAGGAAAGGTTAAGAATGTTTCGTGCCTGGGTAGACGAAGCGATCGTCCAAGCACCATTTTGCCAAAGTTGAAGTGTGCCAATTTTTTTAAACCACTGTACCGCCACACTGGTAAGTCTAGCAGTAGGTTCGCAGGTGTCATCCACATAGCCAATCCACTTACCATCGCTACACACCAGTCCTCCTTGAGGTATTTCCCAGTCACTTTCCCATCTAGGACGATACGTATTACCACGGAATACATGACTTGGCAGGTATAAGTTGGTACATTCAAGCTTAACACAATAGCCTTCAAGGGGACTGTTCATTGTTCCATACGTCTCCGTATGCTTTATATAATCACAGGAAATATACGATCCATAAGAAACAGTTGGTGTTTCCGGGCAACTTAGTGGCTCACAATTAGGACCTTTCCCATCCCAGACTTCATTTATACATGTGCGTTCCTTCGGTCCTTCCAGCCTGAATCCTTTGTGACAAACATAATAAGCTTTTGATCCTTCGACATGACCGTTTGTAGAAACCTCTCCGTTAGACGGCTTTGTAGGGACAGGGCATTGTTTTATTTTCTTACAAACCGGAAGAGAGGGAATCCATTCTTGATCTAAGCATGTTGTACTCTTTTCGGAGTTATGGATATATATGTTATATCCGGGATTACATTTTACACTGGCAACTGTGCCATGAGCAGGAGTTAAGGAAGTCGAAGGAGGAGCGTACTTAACAACAGAGTGCGGTACTTCTGCCGAGGGACAGGATCTTTCTCGTCCGTAGGTTATAAGCGTTTGGGATATTGCAATTGTCGCGTCGCACTTTTTTAATGCCAGAGCAAAGACGTAGTGGGAGGTTGGATCAAGTGATGAAAGAGTCACTGATGTAAGGCGACCTACTTGTGTTTTCACTAAGGTTTTTGGTTCCAGCTCTTTAAAATGTACAAGAAAGAGCTCTGTTTCTGAATGTGACAAAACGTTATTAGTTGGCTTCCATGACAAGCTTACGTCTGTACCACTTGCAGACACAACCTGTAGGTGAGTTTTGTCTTCGATGAAGCTAGCACTATTTCCAAGCATCTCTAATTTTTCGGCGATGGAGGACAAAGCAAAACCTTCCCAAACAGTGTTTTTAAATAGCACTTTCAGGTGTCTGTATTTTGAATTCACGTACCAGTTTCTGATTATCACCGCCAAAGGTTCGCCGTGATAAAGAACTGAGGCCAAGTCAGATTTATCAACTTGAAGATGTAAATCGTTTCCAACTAAGAAGATACAAACGTCAAGGGAGTTTAAATGAACCAGAGATAGGGTGTCTTCGACCTCATCTTCCGCGTAGTTGTCAATTATTTTTAATCCAGAAGCTTTATATAGTAAGTACGAATCTTTACCTTCACCGCCAACAAGTTTATCAACGCCGCCATAGGGAGTAAGTATATCTTCTCCTTCAAGCCCGCAGAGCTTGTTGTCGAAATCAGATCCAATCAGAACGTCATTGTGAATAGTGCCATACACGTTTTCGATACTATCATAGCTGTCTCCTTCTGCATCAACTCCTTTTCCAAATCCAATATTGAGATCAACAGTGACTCCCTTGCGACGGAAACCATCGCCTCTGAAAGCGAGTGTATCACTGCCATCGCCTCCATCGATAAAGTCTGAACCGTCCCCACCGTAAATGTTATCATCTCCAATGCCGCCGTAGATGACGTCCTCACCATCCCCGCCAAAAATGATATCATTACCAGCTCCACCATAAATTTTGTCGTTACCCTGTTTTCCTTCAAAAACTGTTCCTGTGTGTCCTCCACGAAGAATGTCTGCCTGAACACCACCCTCGATTTCTTTTGTTGTGTTACTGCCTGTAAGCTTGTTAGCAAAGGCAAGCGATCCCTTTATATCTTCAGCAGTTGAAATTAAGCCATTCCTTTCAGGATCAATGTTTTGTGGCGAATCGGTCTTGCTACGGTCGACAGCGATGATCTTTTTGTACGGGTATTGTTTGGCGATATGAAAAACCACCTTGTCTGCGGATATTATCTGAAGATGCTGATACTTCTCACCTCGAAAGTGATCTATAATTCGAACGCTGAGTGAGCTAGGTCGTGTTTTTGATGCAAGAATGGCGTCATTGAGGCCATGGAAATAAACATGGATATCATCAAATTCCATTCCAAGCTGAAGCGTGTCCATTTTGTTGTCATCTGCATAATTGTTGATTTCATTAAACTCCCCATACCCGTGATTTAAGACGTAGGTATCGGATCCATTTCCTCCCACCAAATGCTGGTAATTATAACCATTGCCTGCTCCGGGATCAAGGTAATTGTTAAGTTTGTTCCCAAAAATTTTGTAACTACATTGACTAGATTTCAATTCAAAGCGGACAACGTTTTGCCAAGGATCTTTGTCAAGACTGAATGTTATCACCCCTCTTTCACAACTTCCGTGCCCGCATTGGCATTGAGAGGGATCCTTAGATACCTCATATGGCTCGAGTTTAACCGTCTTAGTGTTTATTCTAAGTGTAATTCCATCAATAGTTCTTATCCCAAGATGTTGGTGGTCAGGAGAGTGAAACCAATCAGAAAGTACTACAGTTGGTGTTCCACGACTTGAGACAACTTTCAAATCTTCGCCTTCTCTTTGCAACTGTAAGTTTAGGAAATTTTCCTCTAAATACACTACATCAACTTTTTGGCGACTGTCAAAATTGTTGATAGTTTCTTTTTGGCATGTTTTCTTGACAACATAATTGTCCGTACCTTCTCCACCCTCAAGATAATCCTCTCCTCCAGTGCAGCTTAAAAAGTTGGTCTGTGCATTTCCCACTATGTGATCGTTGTGTGGGGAATCGGAAATTGTCCCCACGTTGGTGTAACCAGTTGGTTTGATGCACTTGGGACTCAGTGATTCCGACAAATCGACACAAACGTTTGTTGAGGAGGTTTTGTAATCCAGCATTATTGGTATTTTGGAAACAGTTCCGTCTTCCCTGGTAGACACTTTGAAGACAACATGATCTTTAGACGTGAATAGAATATGTCTGTACTGATCCCCTACGGTCCACTTTGTTATTGTAAAGCATGACTTTTGCGCATTGTTCCTATCTGTTACAGAGAGGTTGTTACCTTTTGTTTTTACTTCTATCTTTTCAAAGGGCACGTCAAACACTGCAACGTCAGTAGTTGTTGAGTAATCCTCTGCACTATTATCAATAACATCGCAACCTTCATCTTCCCGTATGACGTAGGTATCTTCGTCTTTGCCTCCAGACAAGTGATCAGCTCCCCGACCACCATCCAGGACGTTACTGACGTCATTACCGATAATAATATCAGAGCTTCCTGATCCTGATACTTGTTTGACTTCACTGTATTTATCATCACGAAGAGAGACTGTTTGAGCTGTTTTTGCTGCACCTAGATCCAAAGCGACCGCCACACATTGAACAACATGAATTGGGTCGTTATTCAGGGTTTGTTTTGGGACGAAAATGACTCCGTCCTGACTGCGAAATGAGACATGACGGTAATACGTCGGATCACCAGGAATGAACCAATTCTTGATACGAATGTGATGACTCTTGGAATAAGTAATGTCAAGATCAGTTCCACTCTGATGACATCTGATATTAACAAAGTTGACGTTGATGGCAATGATGTCGCGCTTGTTATCTTCAGCAAAATTATCGATAATTGTTTTTCCGCCGTTTGATTGGATGATGAACAGATCACTTCCAGATCCTCCTGTGACAGTGGACATTTCAGGGCCAAGATAAAAAGTGTCACTACCACCCCGCCCATACAAATTGTAATGATAATTCCCAGTAACAAACTTCAGGTTCAGATTTCCAAAGTTACACTCTTCATCCTTTTTCTCAGGGGGTTTTGTTGTTGGCTTTGGATTCTGCACGGCGTAAAATGTGTTGTCCTTAGAGTTTCCATAGTAAGTTCCATAAACAGATTTTTCGTGGAGACAGGCTCCACAAATGACATCGTATTTCTTAACTGGAATAACAAAAAACAGCTTCGCGGTTTCGTGCTTGTATTCAAATGTCCTCGACTCTCCTATTCCAAGCACGATATCTTTAAGATTAGAACCAACTGTAAATGTTTTGCGTATTGTTTTATGACTGCCGCTGACATCTCCGATTTCTAAAGTAGCACGATTGTTGTCATGAAGCCTGAAGTTAATATAGCCACCAAAGCTGGAAAGTCTTCCCTGGGTGAAATCAATTGTATCTCCACCTCCTTCCTTTTCCCCAACAATCTTGTAATAGTTATCCGGGTTTTTCAAATCTTGAACGAGCTTTTCGTCATTTTGTTCCTGTTTCCTGTAAGAGTCCATCTGTCTTCTTAAGCCACCTGTTAAGAAATCCGCTGCTCCGTCTAGGTAACCTTTTACAAGAGCTCCAAGAAACTCCAATCCCGCCCATGGGCTTTTCCAATTAATTTTCTCTATCTCCGCCATAATATCAATGTAGAAATCATCAATAGCCATCCTTATTATTGACAGAACGATCACAAGAGGTTCAGTAACGACTTCTGCTAACGGGCAAAATGTTCCTACCAGGTTCAGTACTGTGGTGCTAACGTCAAGAGCTAAATCGATAACACGAAGTGGTAAAAGTTTGAGGTCTTCCGGATCATTAAAATCTAAGTCGGCCAACTCCTCGATGTCTTGCTCAATAAAGTAAATATCAAATGCAAGTCCTACCCCAGGAACGGCCCCAAGCAACTGTCCAACTCCTCTCTCTGCGAACCTTTCCACATTAGTGGATAACTTTTCCAATCCTTTTTCTAAATTTAAGCCTTTCGCTAACCCTTTAGCTGCACTACTTAGAACTCGTTGACTAACTTTAGAAGCTATCTCGTTAAGACCGGTTAGACCTCCAAGTGTGTGAGCAGACTGGGCGACGGTCATGGCACCCCTAAAGTTTTCCCCTTCCTCAAAATATCTACCAGCAGCAAGAACGGAGAATACGAGACCGTGAACGGCTAAACCTTTATTTATCTTGGCGTAAGTCTCACTCATCCCAGCTCGTCGAGAATTTGATAGGTTATCCTTAATCAGCTTGGGAGTAGCTAACTCTTCAGGGCTAATTTGTAACTGAACATGCTCTCGTTCTTTTGAATCACGACGGTCTACCAAGTAAAATTCAACCCGGTCTTCTTTAATTTTGATAGACGTCTCATCAACTTTAGCAGAGTTTCTATTCTTTAGTGAACAGACATAGCGTTTTCTTCGACGCCTCGTGCAATCTTCTTCCATTTTGTCGAGAGTGAGTCGTAAATCGTGTTCTTCAGCGGAACGTTTGCGAGAAAGATATTCACTTCCTTGTTCATGTATCAAGTTTCGCCCTTCCTGTGTTCCACCTTTTTTTCTTACTGGAAAGTTTTCTTTGCTAAACACTGTCTCTATTCTGGCAGGTCCAACGTTTTTGAGCATGCCTTCGACAACCTCATCCATTGCTGGACTTCGCCCAGATTTTCCTTTTAATTCTGCAATATTGGGAATATCTTTACTTTTTGGGAATGCCCTTTGTTTCTCTATCATTCTTGCTAGCTCTGTTAAAAAGGCCTCTTTAAACTCCTCGGTTGGGTGTGCCGCTTCTGCAACCATGGAAATAATCATAAATTCTACAGTAGCTCGAACAGTGTCAGCAGACTCTGCGGGTTTTCCCGAAATTTTCAAATCTACTGAGAAATCAGGTTGACTGTTGAGTTTGCTTTCGACAGCATTGAGCATAGCTTTGGCCAGCTTCTCATGTTCAGGAAATTTAGCAAGAACTTCGTCTACCATGGTATCGTAATCGGGTGCCCAGGGACCACTCGTCGTGCTCCTTTTCGTAGTACCAGGCCAATCATCATCTAAAGTATACACCAATATTTGGTTTACTCCGAACAGTGCTTTACTCAAAAGGAATTTCCTTGTCTCTCCGCCAATTTGAACTTCGAACCGTGTATGTTTTCTTCCCTGGCGTTCGTATATATCAGGATAAAATTGTAGTAGTTTAAATATTTTTTTAAGGGATACCTGATCAGATTTGTGAATTGTCACCGTTAAATATCGTTTTGCATGGGTTCCCATTTCTTTTTCTTCGACAACTTTTTTCGTTGATTCTGCCGCATCTAGGGTCTTCAACTGTTCCCATTCGTCAATAGCCTCCTTACTAGTTTTAAGCATACTCTGAGTGAATTCAAATTTCAGTTTCCTTTCTTTTTCTGCCGAAATCTCCTTGCTTTGCTTATCTCTAACTTCCTGCATTCTCGAATCAATATCTTTGTATGTATCCTGCAGCCATTCGGGAGGATCTAGTCCTTCGAAAGTGAGCTCTTTTAAGGCAATTGCAACCAAAAGGTCTCTGCCTGCTCGAAAAGCCATTTCCATCTCCTGTGGGGTTACCGTCCCACTTGGGTCACGACTTTGCAATTCTGTTTTAAAATCGGGCTGACTGCTTAATCGCTCATCTAATGCTTTTAAAAAGGCCTCTCTTATCGTTTCCCTTAAGGGCTGCTTTAATTCGGGGTTAGAAAGAAATCTAACTGTTTCCTGGAGATGAGACGGATCTACTTCAACAGTCCCTCCGTCATGTACAGCTTCTAATGAAAACGTTCCGTCCGGTTTCTTGGTGAGCTGAAATTTTTCCATTTGTTTTCCAATTGGTATTTCGAATTCTGTCGGGTATTGTTCTTGCTCGTATAGAAGGGGGTAAAAGTTCATAAAGTTAAACGCTTGCTTCAAAGAAATTTCTTCACTTGATCCAAATTTGACGAGTTTTCCTCCTCTGGGTTTCTCAGTTTCTGTCACCGGCTTTGGCAAACTGGTTTTTAATTTTAATTCGCTAAAGCCTTTCCTTACGTAATCACCAACCACCGCGCTGTCGAGGAACTTTTGGACCAACTCTCTAGCCGGATTGACTTCTGCTTTTTGACTTCCCCCAAGAGTCCCTCTAGTGTAAATGATTACGTTCGACAACAAGAATGCAGCTAAAAAGAACAAGGCCACCACACCAAACCCCATACTCATACTCTAGAGAGGCTTAGCATAAAAACCTAGAGAAAAAAAAATAGGGAGGAATAGCTAAAATAATTTTCTACAAAACGCAAATACCTTTCAGCTGGTATAACAGTAGGCATGATATACTTTAATAAGATCATTTCGTAGACTTTGCAAGAAAATGAATCAGACCCGCTGTCATAACCTTTTCTCGTGATTGTGTATCGATACTAGAGACCTTTAGATTCTGAGACGAGAACGAGATTTTCTCAATACTGAGTATTGCTCGCGCGTGAACCAGCGTCATTTTGGCGGGAAAAAGTGATTCGCCATTCTAGTACGAGTTCTAGCGAGAATGTCGTAGTGGCGGAAAATGAGTTATCAAATGTTACAAGTTTAATCATTTTTCGATTAGGGAGAAGGCTTAACCTCCTTTAATAAAGATAACAGTGCTAGCTTTTCTGGTATATCAAAAGTACAATGAAGCTTTCCGGGGTATCTATTTTTTGAGAATAGTAGGCAAAAAAACTTTAAAGTCAAATCTCTTACTCGTAGTCGGCCTCGTCCTCGAATCTAAAGCTTTCTGGTCACTATTCAAACTAGCCTGCGAGCAAGCTCTGCCATTTGGGCAAGCGAGGTGAGCCTCGCGAGAACGCGCGAGCGAGGGGCCTTTCCCCTGCCCCTTGCGGCTTCGCCGCTCGCTCGCGCGTTTTCGCGAGACTCCCTTCACTCGCCCAAATAGGAGAGCTTGCTCGCAGACTATATTCAAACAAACAGGATTCATAATCTCTGGTTCAGATATTTTATTGTATCCGTACCGTGAAACAACGGTTGACTTCATCTTTACGTAACCAGAAGCTGTGCATGCATTTCAGAAAGCTACCTGCTGCTAAGACAATAGAAGTTGTCATATATTCTAGAAGAAGGAAAAATCTAACATCAGCTCAGTAGTTGGGTCTATAACTGTGACGAGCTTCTTTAAATTTAGTCAAACAAACTATCATTTTTTAACTATATAAAAATTTTCATTAAAATAAAAGAACTAATTGGAATNAAAAAAAACAAACATATTTGGCAACACCTTTGTTAAACCTTTGACTTAAATCTCACACGCATTTGACGACAACTTTGTCACACATTTGACCTGAGGCTCAGACACTTTTGACGACACTTTTCACAAGCCTTTGACTTTAATCACAGACATAACTTTGCCGCGCTTTTGTCACACCTTTGGCCTGAATCTCAGACATATTTGACGACGCCTTTGATAGGGGTACAAATGCTAATGAAATATACCTTTGACGCGCGTCAAAGGTAGGCGTTAAAGGCGTGACAAAAACGGCCTTTATCGCCTGAAGACGCGCCTTTGACCGCGGGCAAATGTAAACATTTGTCGCGCGTCAAAGTTGTACAAAGGTGTGCAAAGGTGGCCTTTATCGCGCGTTTGACTTCACCTTTGACGTTCGGTAAATCCGCTTTTTCGTCCCGTGAAACTGCTTGAAGACCATACCTTCACAGCGGCACATACCTATATAGCCCATATATGGCAGTACCCCCCCCCCCCCGGCGTTTATCCAGGAATCAAGTTTATAGAGATCGATTGTCGTTGCTTTGTATACCCTCGTTTCTTTTCGACTGTTTCGTAAAAATTTGGGCAACTTGGCAGAATTTTTTGGGCAAATGGCCCCCATGGCAAAAAAATTGCCCTTACGCTTACAAGTTTGTCAATGAATGTTTATAGAGAAACTAACAGTTGCTAAATTTCTTTAATTCCTCATTTTTTCATGTATCATTTTGAGCCCTTTCTGCGTTCCACCTTCAGTTCTTACTGGAAAGTTTTCTTAGCTAAAACACTATTCCTATCCTGGTAGGTTTAACGACTTTAAGCTTGTTTTGGACAACCTGGTCCATTGCTAGACTTCGTCCTGATTTGCCTCTTAGTTTTGCAAGGCTAGGCATATCTTTCCCTTCTGGGAAATTATTTTGTTGCATTATCGTTTCTGCTAGCTTTTTAATTTAATGTAGATCACCTTAGTCTCTTCGGTGGGCTGAGCCCCTTCTTCAGCCATCGAAATGATCATAAATCATACAGAAACTCGAGTGGTGTCAACGGACTCTCTGGGCTAGTCCGGAATTTCAAATCTTTTGAGAAATCCGGTTGTCTTTCAAGTTTGCTGTCGACGGCTTCCAGTATAGCTTTGGCTAGCTTGCCATGTCCAGGAAATTTAGCAAGAACTTCATCTATCACCTTCTTGTAATCAGGTCCTGTAATCCTTTTCCTTTATTGTCTCTTTTCGTAGCACCAGGCCAATCATGAATTTAAGGATGTACCAATACTTGGTTTACTCCCCTAGGCGTTTTACTTAATCGAAATTTCTTTGTTCCCCCGCCAATTTGATCTTCAAATCCAGTTTGTTTTCCTCCTTGCGTTTTGAATATTTCAGGATAAAATTGTGGTAGTTTAATTATTTCTTTTATAGATACCTGATTGTTTTGGTGGATTGTCGTCTGTAAGTATGAATTTTTCTCCGTTCCAATTACATTTTCTTCGATATTTTTTTTATGGTTCTGCTGCGTCCAGAGTCTTCAATTTCTACAACTCATCAATAGCCTTATTTGTTATCAGCACGCTCTGAGTAAATTCAAATTTTAGTTCCGTTTCACCTGCTGCTGCTATCTCTCTGCATTGATTATCTCTAACTTCCTCCGATCTCGAACCAATATCGCTGTGTGTCTCCAGCAGCCAATCGGCAGATCGGGTGGATTTAATCCGCCAAGAGTGATCTTTTTATCGCGATTGCAACCAAAAGATCTGCTGGGTCTGTGGCTGCTCGAAAAGCCGTCTCAATATCCTGTGCGGTACCTGTTCCTCTTGGGTCACGACTTTGTAATTCTGTCTTAAAATCGGGCTGACTGCTTAATCCCGAATCTAATACTTTCAAAAAGGCCTCTCTTATCGTTTCTTTAAGGGATCCTTCAATTTTGGGTCAGAAAGTATCTTAACTGTCTCATGGAGATTACAGAGATCCACTTCAACATTCCCTTTCTTACCCCTGTTATCAGTGTTATCTTACCCCCGTTATCGGTGAGTTCTCCAACTGGCATTTGGAATTCTGTGGGATATTTTTCTTGGCCGTAAAGAGAGGGGTAAAAATGCATATAGTGAAATGCTTCTTTCAGAGAAATTTCTACAGTTCTTCCAAATGTGACGGGTTTCCTTCCTCCGAGTTTAGCCGTTTCTGTCACCGTCTTAGGCAAACCGGCTTTTTAATTTCCAAAAGCTTGTTCTTAAGTCAGGTGCCCCGTCGAGGTACTTTTGGACCAAAGCCTAGGTGCGCGTCTTCAGAGCTGGAGTTACAGGAGTAGTTACACTTGTGCAAATTTTTATGTTCGACAACAAGAAAGCAGCTGAGAACAATAAGGCAACCCCAATAAGCGACAGGCTCTGCTCAAAAATCTAGAACAAAGGAAGGTGTATGTATGTGCTTATCCTAGGTTTTTGAGCAAAGCGTCTCTGTTATTGGGGTTGCTTTATTCTTATGCTTTGACAAGACCATTCTTCGAAAGAAGAGGGAGAGTGAATTAGACACGTGAGCAAGTGTCCTGGAAAAACGACATAACACCAGATCGTTGAAAATAAATGTTTGTGAACGTTTCTCCTTATTAACAGTTGTAAGTGGTTATTTTGACAAACCTTCGAGGTACAAATAAGAACAAAAATAAATAAAATATAGGATTAAATGTTTTTTTACGAATCCTGAAAAAAATAGTTAGCTTTTTATTTAAAATACTTAAAATTCTAGTACGTAAAAAAAGAGGGAAACAGCCCTAAAAATTCGTGTTCAGTACCTTTTGAAAATTAAGGAATCATATCTCGGGTAGACTACGTTTTCAAAAACAAATGTTATGGAATGATTATTCCTGTGCTACATATTGTCTTGTTCATTTAGATTTAAACATTATCAAAAATATTATATGTCAATTAAAATGTGAATATAAGTTGGAAAAAACTTACCAGGTATTTCAATTGTGCTGCTGTAAGGTATCCATATTTTAGTACGAGAGCATCAGTTGAAAAATACTGTCACTGCCTATGGATGAGGTGGGTCTTAACCAAATTCAACCCGACACGTCAATATATTGTAGAAAAGTATTTAATAAAATACTAGGAAAATGAGATCTCCAATCATTTTTCTGATTTTAATAACGCCTCACTGACCTTCGAAAACGTCAACTTTTCCCTGGTCTGTTGACAAAGCTACGGTTGAAGTAATGTTGACATGGTCACGAATTGCATGTTTGCTTTTCTACGGCAAGAAGCTTTATTAGGAAAATCGCATAAACTAAAAAACATAGTAATAATATAGGATCAGGGGAACTCTTAAAATATTATTTGGGTTAAATGTAGTTATTTGCAGCGTTTTCTATAAATTTTGTTTCTGTTTTTATAGTCTGTGGTTCAAATGGTTCATTGTCTACCTGAGCTTACGGTTGACCTCATTTCGGGTGGGTACCTGTTGTCGAAAATATTTCCTTCTATGACTGCGACGATCTTTATATTTAATGGATAATATCATTATTTTTCCATAAACATTTTGGATTAATATCATTAACAATAGGGAGGACTACTTGGAATTAATACGCGTTCATTGCAGCGCTCTCCCTTTACCCAGTGTAACTTGAACGAAAAGTCTTACATTAATTATGGTGAAAATATATTCTTCTTGATTTTGATGGTGGTAAAACCCGACAAAATCTCTCTTTGAAAGTTATGGAAGAGCATCATTTAAATTAAACCCATTTTGATGTGAAGATTTTGAGACGGCCACGTTTGATATTAATTTGAACTCGACCGAAAATGGGCTATTTAAATTCATATCCAAATAGGATAAAAAAAATAATTACACAAGAATATTACTGCCTTTTCTTACGATATTTAAGAAGTATTAAAAATATGTAGGTCGGGTTTATTAACTGACATATTCCTTTGCAATTAGGCCCTAGTGATAACTGTAAGATGTCATGACAAG